GAACTTCCTGTTCAGATTTCGAGGTGCCAACATCGATATTCGTGTTCAGCAGGTCCAAATTAGTAAAAAACGCCTATTTGGCCAATTGTTGTCTGAAATGCCCCTAGAACCTGTTAAACGGCTGCTTTTTATAAAAGTGAACCAGTCTAGTGATTCGAACAACTCATACGCTCGCATTCTTCTACACTTTTTAAGGACACTATAAAGTATAATTGATGAGGATTGGTAAGGTGCGAAATAGAAATATCTAAGTTTCATTATCACGCGACCTCATTTCGTTATGTAACGCGTGAATTTATAGAATCCATCAGGAATCGGTCAATAAATGTGAATTTGAACCAAAATGTTAAAACTTGATAAATCGAGATATCAAAAGTTAAATAATGCTAATTATTCACTTGACAGTTTCCAATTTCACAGCTGTACGCGATTTTCCACCCATGGAGAAACTAATTTCACATCCAAAACTAATTTATTACATTAGTTTAACGCGAAAATATATCATCTCTACAGAATGTGGATGGATGCGTGGATTTCGTTGTACAAAAATGTCCGAAATAATTTATTTAACGGTTTTAACAACAATTCTCTCTATTCACTGTTATGGAAATCTATTAGTTCGCAGAAAGCTAACATCGAGGCTAACATTTTCCCCCCCCCCCCCTTTTCAACCACTTTTCTTTACTCTTCTCACGTCAAAATGTCGCGCTTATTATAATATGTTAAGAAGTTCTAATTTTAAAATACATAAAGCCTTTCAATTACAACTGATATTCGACAATAAGCAAATTGCGTGACGGTACAATTCATGGCACAAGTCGTTGGTTTGTTTTCAAAGGGATCAACCCTATTTACAAGGCTAATGGCTAATCATAATTAATTACAACAAACAGATGAAACCTAATTACTAAGTGCTTCGGAATGTAGTGTTTCAGTCGGTGTTGCTATTGGGTCCGACATTAAATTAGATGTAAATTAATTGTAACCCTTCGAGGCACACTGTTAAGGTGACCAAGATATAATGAATCACAATGCCTATTGCTATAAAGTACCTACCTTTTACCAAATTGCCAGGTTAATAGTACTTTCCAGTCAAAAGTAGTCGAAGATAATAATAGACCAATGAGGGACAGACGTGCGAAGATACAGGGTTATAGAAAAACTATGAGGTATGTAAATTTCAGTTTAATATAGTACAATCCACTAAACGTAGTAGATAGTTTGTGCAAAGTACGGGCTCACACTGACAAAGTGTCCACATTAGATAATTTTTCATCTCCTTATATCTCCAGATTGTCGGAAGAGGGTACCTTTGTGAGTACCCGATTGGGACTTCTGGAAGAAATATATATTGGTGATGTCAAAAGAGTGAATATTTCGAAAACGGTTTGTCGGAGGAAATTAGGTACTCTCAAAAGTAAATTGAATCGTCTGGGCGAGACATATCTGATGGTGAAGTTGAAGCGAATATCTTGAAAACGAAGTGTCGGAAGAGGATACTCATAAGGGCAAGTGGCACCTCAGGACGAGACATACTTATAAGTGATGTCAAAACTTTCAGTGCAAATATCTGCAGAACCGAATGTCGGAGGAGGTACTCTCAAAGAGCGGAAAGATCGTCTAGACGAGCCATCTCTACTGGCGACGAAAAAACTTAATTGTGAATATCTCGAAAATATTGGATGAAGGTACATACAAAACGAAATTGCAACAGTTTGGAGAGTTTCTCTAAGGGCTTCATTCTTCTTGCATTATATAGCGTAAAGCAACATCCATAAATATAGCATGCTACTGCCTTATAAAAAAACCAGCATTTAATGTGCTATTTCGGTTTTAAAAAATGCGCTTTATCTGCGCAATAGTTGTGCACAATATTACTGTTGTACTTGTTTTCAGTTAGTCCCCGAGTCTTCCATAGGAACCTAACTATCTATCGGAGTAAAATGTAGAGTCCGCTCACTGTGAAGGCTCAAATCTCAAAATCGCTGGAGCCGATATTAATGAAATTTTTGGAACGTATCAATTGGTAAGTTGTTGTTAACATACGTAAATTGTAAATTTTGGCTGCCAGGACTTTTTACGTTATCGAATTTTTTGCGCGATCGGTCATTTCTGACTATTTACCATGGGTGTTTCCATGACAGTACGTAGAATTTACCAGTTGCTATGATTACGACGACGCCAAAATTACTTACCGATCTAAAAACAGAACAGCAATAGTATATTAAAGCACAAGTGTCATTTGACGAAGATTGTCGCACGAGGTAGTTTGCCGCATAAGCCGCGTAGCGGCGAATGCGGCAAAAGCCGAGTGCGACAAGTAGACAAATGACACGTGTGCTTTATACTATTTTTTCTATTTCGACTTTTATTTTAAATAATAAATTATACAAATTATAAATATTGCCTTTAGGCGTTGTTAGGTAATTTTAAACTATCATTCAGTGTATGTTGGTAATAGACACAATTCATTTATTTTCACGTTGGCTAACCTGATTCCTGTATTTTCAAACTTCAAACTTTTAATTAGGTATTTGGTCATAATTCCATTTTGCGGCAGTTATGATCTCGGTTATGATGAATACGGATGACAAACACGTCTCTTGTACCCCACCAGAGATCCAAGAGATTGCCAATGAAGCGACGTTAAATTTACTGCCTGTAAAATCGAAAGTAAAGTACGAGGAGTACAACATTTTTGAAAACTGGCTGGCCGAGAAGGGAGTTCAAAAAGTAAGCAAGAATGTACTGCTGGCATATTTTACTACGCTAAGTAAAAATAAAAAAAGTTCTACCCTTTGGAGTATATACCTATTCAAAATTAATCGGAATTAATACAATCGGTCAAGTTCCTCGTACGTTATTTACACTTTACAGGTTATGTTTAGTTTTGATTTGACGGATACCGTTGACAGCAAAAAAGCGAGGGGTACCAATCCAACAAAATAAAAAAAATAATGCGTTTCTATTTCTTTCGGCATCATTTCTGTCTAGAAACGCACGCAAACTGGGCCAATCAAGTACGGTTTCGGTATTGTTTCCACATCGAAATAGAAAAAAATACTTACCGACGCCTTTTTAAAAATCAACAGTCTTACATTACATTTAATCTTTAATTATTGTTAGGTACATTAATCGTACAATTTGTGCTGTTGTTTCCTATAGCAAGACGCTCATAAAGTCATAAAGGATGTGCAAAGCTAGTAAACTACATCAGACACATGCACATTTTTATGGAATTATTAATTTCAATTTTGACATTTAAACTGGTTGCCTAGTGATGTACACCATACCACTTTGATCATTTCGATTTATTCTGCTCGTTAATTTCTTAGTGCATATTTATATTGGTTGCATAATTTTAATTTCGATCGCGCAAAAAATGTTATAAGCACGTCGAACGTTAAGGGTTACCGTTCTCAGACAATAATTGGAGTCGTCGCTTCGCTCCTCCTCCAAACAATTGTCTTCGAACGGTAAAAATCCCTTACCGTTCTCCATACTTAATATACTATTCCTCACAAAAAAGTACTCTAAAATGCGTGATTTGTCGCGATGTTCAACTGTACAGGTCCATAAATAGTTTATTTTTCCACGAAAATTCATACATTTCGGGTATTACATAACCCAATTCTTGCTGTAGCTATTGTAGAAAAAATTATGGAAATATCTTGTTCCCTTTTTGCGTAATTAGCGGAAAAGCAAAAACATTGCAACGCAGCTATTATTGAAGGAAACGACTTCATTCTTTTTTTATAAGATGAATAAAATAGCAAACGTCATAAATGCTTACGTATTGTCTGAAAACAACTTGTGGATGTTTGTTTTTGTGTAAATTAGCCAATACTCTACGTACCATTGAATAAGTGAGTGTTTTTATTCAATGATAGTGTTTTTATTCAATGTACGTACGAAACAAGATGAATAATAACCTGCGGTTTTCATGTGTGATGTGCGGCAAACATGTTTTGTTTAACTGGAGCGTTACAATACAATAACCACAGATGGTCATGGCCAATGTAATGTAAATTGTCATTATTATTCTTTCGTGGGTACCTACAGGAGCACGTGTTTGATAAACAGATATATTATTCAAAACCAGAAAAATGGATTGTGGTTCATAATATTTTCTTACATTCAAATATATAAAGGCACATTGCTCATCCAGAACTACATTAACAGTTTAGTTGTCACGACGTACCACTATATCTATAATAAATAATAAAATGCCTCGTTATGTGTCCGTGGAGTTTAAAGAGATTGTTGTGAAGGTAAAAAGGTTCTTCGAAGAAGAAAAAATGAATGGTGTAGATCGAGTTCGGCTCAATCAAGTAACAAAACGAACTGCGCAATGCTTGGGAATTAGCGAAAAAACAGTTCAAGGGTGTCCAATGAAGCAAGTATCAGTGGTATAGTTTCAGGACCAAAACCAAAAAGTGGTAGACCTAAAATAGAGATCGATGATTTTATGAAGGGCGTTATAAGACGACAAATATTAAATTTTTATATGGAAAAACGGTTTCCAACCATAGCCGAACTCTATCAACGACTGAAAGACGAGTGCAGATTTTCCGCAAGTGTGCAGCACCACAGTAAAAAAATGGGTAAAAGATATAAATGTTATCTATCGCAAATTGGAGAACAGGCCTATTTTAATGGAAGTGAATGCAATAGCTGCTAAAAGAGCCGAATATCTATACGCCATCAAAAGATATAGAGAAACCGGTTGGAATCTATTTTTTACAGACGAAACATGGTGTGGCGCAAACCATTCAAAAAAATTTGGTTGGGTGGAATATATAACCCCGGAAAACCGCGACAGCTTTAACCAATATCGAGGAACCATTCAAGAAATCAATGGGTACAGGGGTGGAATCAAACGACCTTCTGGAGCTGGGCAACGGATCATTATACTTGACATCGGCAACGAAAACGGTTTTTTACCAGGATGTAGCGAATGCTTCATTGGGAAGAAAGGGTCAGCAGATTATCATGACGAAATGAATAAACAGCATTTTGAGGAATGGTTACGATATGTCTTGGGGGTGATTCCCGATAAGTCAGTTATTGTACTTGATCAAGCTCCTTACCATACAATGTTGAATCCTGAATTTCGAAACCCAACAACTGCATGGAGAAAAGCAGACATAATTGAATGGTTAAATAAGCGAAAAGTTCAGGTACCAGAACACTTCGATACATTCGATCAAATGACAAGGCCTTCACTTTTGCAATTATCTCGCATGTACAATTACAAAAAACAGTATTTTCTGGAGAAAGTGGTAAACGATGTTCGACAGGATAAAGTGAAGCTTTTATGGCTTCCAGTAGCCCATTGTGAGTTCAACCCCATTGAATTGATATGGGCGTATGTCAAAAATAAAGTTGCAAAGCTAAACACAACATTCAAAATTAAAGACGTATTAGACCTCTGCAAAGCAACATTGGAAGATGTGCCAAAAAGCGTTTGGGCTAATTGTGTTCACCATGCCAAGAAAGTAGAAGATATGTACCGAGAAAAAGAGAATTTAATAGATGTCGCCATAGAACCTTTGGTAATAAATCTCAACGACGAGGATAGTGATGACGCAGTTATCGACTTTGATGAAGATGATCTCGAAGAACATAGCGATAATGATGATTATGAGTTGACTGATTAATACAGAATAACAATTTCATGCTATATTACTTAACCGTGTACTTAGCGTGTGTGCCGCTTTATACGAAACGTTGCTGCAAGGTACAACTTTGCGATTAAATGACCTTCCCCCCAACTCCGCTCGAGGTGTTGCGTTTATCTCTTTCGCTCAAAATATATTAATTCCTGCAGCCCTTCACATTTTTTTGTCATTGATTCTATTCCGTGATCATATCATTTGTAATTGTCCTTTATCGATATGAACAAAACTTTTTGAAGTGTATCTTATAATAAGCGAATAAACGCGTCTGTCATTTTATCGCTGTAACGTTTGCGTAATTATACAGAAATGCATAAAAATGTATCGACGTATAGTTAAAGGGGTGTATTCTATCACATACGTAAACATCCCATTTGAGTGAATACTTTTTTTGTAATTAAATCCTAAAGTTCTGAGTTCGTATACTTTCATTGAAAAAGTGCGCTTTCCCGTACATATTTCACTATCACATTTTCCCAAATTTAACAAGAAATATGACATTACGTACGGAAACGTAGAAATAGTTGACGATTATATTACGCTTTATTTGATAAAAATCGGTTGGGTAGTTTTTTTTTTAATAACCGTTTAAAGCCAGCGGACTCTACATTTTACTCCGATATGCAATGTAAATAACATAATTTTAAGGCGAGTTTATGCTCACAAAAAACAAAAATTAAAATAAGAATTCAAAAATAAGAAATAAGAATAAAAATAACAGCAAATGTAACCGTTTATACTGAAGTAAATAAGAAATTATCATGAAACTAGATCCCTGTAAAAAGCTTCAGTTATAGGTGTCATTCACAGGGTTTGTTGTCAGTGGTATTTTTGGCGGTTAAATGTTGACAAAAGAGTATTATACTCTTTGGTAAGTTAGTAGCAGTTAAGCCATATTTTGAAGAGGTGTTTCTTTTACTGACGCTTTTCTTCATCGTTATTGTTAATGAATCGTCGACGGGTGCAACGACGAATGCCAGTAAAGCGTTATAGTGTTCGTCCCCTAAAAGATATCTTGCTGATAGTTGCAGTATGCAAGAGATTGCCTTTAACCTTATTCATCGTCCATCATAACGGCTTATTCGCAGGTTCTTATTCTTAAGTTGGAAGTTTGCAACTTTTATTGTTTTACATTCTTATTCTTATTTCCTATTATTTTTCTTATTTTTATTTAATATTATTTGTGAGCATAAACTCGCCTTTAAATAATCTCATTACCAATAGGGTGCTTGATGCTTAGTTCGAAATCGTGCTGGTTAGGTTTACGAGTACAAAACATAGAAATAGGTAACTGTGAATTTATCATCTAACTACTAATGTTTCCAAGTCCACTAGATTCTGCTACTGGAGTGTTTTTACAATCTTAATTAAATACCAATTAAATAGAACTCCCTACCTGTCGAGGGACTTAATTTAGAAACACTGGTGTAATAATTGCATTTAATATGAAATTTAATTCTGTTGTAAGCTCAAGAAAATACGAGCGTTATAGACTTTAATTGTCTTACATTGCTTTCTCGTATTTTCGCTTTTTTTCGGTATTTTATTTCTAGTGCTGGAGAAAGAACAAAGTTTAATGAGTGGTTCTCGAGCCAATCGGGTCAACCATCGCTGTCGTGTTTTTACTCCAACCACAATGAAATAAAACTAGCAATTTATTGACATTTCCCTAGAAAAGTTTATAATGTGGTTAGACTGTTGAGAATGAAATCAATTAACCGGGTTTATAGTTTCAGCGTTTATACAGACGTGTGGATATTTATTCCCCATCTTAAAAACAGTTAGGTGCAAAGGGCATCATTTTGAACGGAGATCAATTTTTATGCAAATTTTATTGAAAATATCGGACAATATATCATTAAAACAAAATGGTCCATTAGAGCCGAATAAATGAAAATATATAATATGCCTCTCGAAGCTTTAGTCTTGTGATGATTAATTACTTAATTGCATTTTTTTCCTGAAGTTACAACACTTGCCGTACAAAATTCGATTGAAACTCAACAAAAGCAAAAACTTTGAGACAATTGCTCTGACCTTTTATAACACTAAGCAGCTTACAGTAGGCAGCTACGTTTTGTTCAAGTAAAACGTATAAAACCTTAAAAATGCTATTAAAGGATAACCATAAATATTAAATGGAATTAATTGTACTGCGCCAACTTTATGTTGTAAAAGAATGTGCCGTAAGGTAATATGAAAGTGTTTGGTCTACTGGATTAATTTGGATAATTTAAGATATTACCCATTATTATTTTATGTAACCAACGTGCGACAGCTTACCTTAAGAGCTTGTAACTAATCTAGAACACAAGGATACTTTTACAGCAACTGCAAATGTAATACAGTAATGCTAACAAGGGGCATGTAAAGAACGAACGAAATGGGAAAATGTTTTTTATCATACGATTCACTCAAAAACGAAAGTGAATACTTACCATCAATCTCTATTAGATGCCCAAACATCAACACTTTTTACAATAGAAATTGTAACCGAAACTAAAAATTTCTTCTCTTTTCCTTAGTATCCCCCTCAACCACTTCTTACCTCTTCCAGCACATCCCTCTTGCCTCTCCCTGTCCTTTCCACCTCCTTGCAATTCAATAACATATTTCCCTCTCTCCTCATTTCCACATCTGAATCTCTATATTATTTTAATATTTTTTATTCCTTCCCATAAATATATTGGTAACCACTCCCTAATTAGATCTGTGTAGCCACTACTTCCTCGTGTGCTCTGTACCTCCACCCTCTGTTGTTGTATTTGTGCATCCAGGTCGCTTTTTGTCAGCCTATTTTCCATCTTTTCTCCTACTCATCTCCTCTTTTCGACGTTAATCCGTATCCATTTCTTTCATAATATTTTCTCTTTTGTTCGTACCCCATTCCTTTTGTGCTCATCATCCTAGTCAAGCATTCTTATACCAATTCGCCTTTTTTCACACCTTTCCTCGAATATTATAGCGCCCTCCATACCGACGCTATCCTTATCTTCTCTATTTTTATTTCCTCCTCTAAAATAAAATTTGGTGTCCTTCTGTTTAGGCCTATTTTCATCCCGTTCCTTCCATCCTCATATCTCCGCTCCGTAGGCGAGAACCCCTCTCGCCATTGTATCGAGCAGGTATTTTCTTGTTCTGAAATTGTTCTTGAAATCACCACCCCATTTTTTTCTTAGTTGTTTTTGCGCAATTTCTTAGTTGTCTTTGCATTTCGTACCCTCAATACATAATTTCTCCATTCCTTTCCTTTTCCAATACCTCTCCCATTATTTGCTATGTTGCCATTATTACTGCGTCGTACGTGTATGTTAGGGACCATATCTTTCTTCTTCCCATGTGGATTAATCTCGTTTTTCCAAATAGTTACTTGATTCTGTTCTTTAACTTCTTGCATATTTTCCCATATTCATCTTCCGTACTTTCTCCCTTTCCACTCTGTCAAACTCTACCCATTTGTGTTCCCTCCAATATCCCCTTCTCTTCCATCTCTGTTTCTAATTTGTAATTCAGTACCATTGCACAGATTCCATACGCCAAAATCGTGATGCCACTTCTTGTTCTTGTCTATTTTCCCATCTTCCATAATCTTTCCCTTTCTACTCTGTCAAACGGTGCTTTCTAATCTTTCATTCAGTACCATTGTGTAGAATAGGTCGTCGTCATTATCGTGATTCCCCTATAATTTTCCTATCACGTCTCTCTCTCTGCCGCTTTCCCTTTCTTCAGTCTTTTTAGTTGCTGCTCGATCTCTTCTCTTGATATCTCATCTCCATCTCCACTCTTCCTACCTCTTCCATAGCTTCCGCTTTCTCTTGCTTTCTTTGTAGTACCTAGATCCAGTGTTGTTTCCATTCCTCTAATTGTATTTCCCTCTCGCTTGTTCTATATTTCTTGTTTTCGTCTGTTTACCACTTTCCAAAAATCTTTTTTCTTTACATTTTCTTTTGTATTTTTTTGTTCTTTCACCTCTTTCTCCTCTATTTTCCCTCCATCATTTCTCTATATCTATTTCTCTCTTCCGCGCAGTTTCTGTCTCACCACTTTTCTCTCCCCACCCCTTCAATTATTTGTTTCTACGCTATTGCTTAATATTTTCTTATATGTTATTCCACTCACCTGTACACCTTCCTATTACTTCTCCTTGCTCCTCTAGTACAGTTCCACCGTATCTCTTAACTCCATAACTGTATCTCCCTTTCGCTTCGCGTCTTTTCATTTTTTGATCTTCTTATCTTCCCTTTTAGACTCAATTCCATGGATTGGTGATTCGAGTTTATCCTTGTTTCTACCTATTCATCTATTTCCTCCAGCATTTTTTCACTTACTACTTATTGCGTAATCAATTTATGGACCTCTTCCTCTTCCTCTCGTGTATGTGAGTTGCTCGTCCCCATCTTACTGCATATTTCCGTTTAAAATTTTTCATCCTCTCTTGTCTGATGATTCCAGTAACACTTTTTCATCATCTGTGTTGCACTCTTTAATCCCTTGATTTACTATCTTGTGTTTTTCCGAGATCTACCCATTTTCTTTTAATTCCTATTCTGGCATTAGAATCTACCTCTACCCTCCTCCTCCCATTCATCTACCGTATTTCCGATTTTATTTTTTAAGTTTGTTGCATATCGTTATCACTCTCATTTTCTATCCTTCCGCTTCCACTCGTCTGACCTGTATTCCTTCCTCCTCTTGCGTTTCATTCTCGCGGAGGGAATTTAGTCCTCTACAATTTATGTTCCATACATGTTTTCGTTTACGGTTTGATCTGTATTTTGAAATAAATGCGCGCGCCCTTACGTTTGATCCTCGGTTTGATCTATCACGATGCTGCATCAAAATTGAAAGAGAAGTGCATACGCCTCTATCTATTTTACACCGTGGTTCATATGCATATTGAACTTAAGAATTACCCTCTATGTAGGTATTTGTTTTGATTTCGTTATATTACTTTTAAAGACAAGACAAAGTAGGTACAGTGC